CACAAAACGTCAAGACCCCGGTGAATTATACATGAATAGCAGCTCGATAGTTGCCATGCATTGCAGCCATTGTGCTACCAACTTAAAGCCTTTCCTGCTTCAACTCGCGTTCGGTTTGCAAGGTCCCACGAGGATTGAATTAATACCTATTGGCTTGCAGCATGCTGCTGTGTGTGCCTCAGTACCTCAGTGCTGCCTAAACGGTTCAAATGGATGTCTGTATTGTGAGTTAGCTTCGAAACTTTTATGGTCATGTTGCAGACGAGTTGTAACTAGATTCTGAACCTAGTGGTGCAGGCCAAGATTATGCCGAACTTAGCACCAATGCCAACATCTTCTTGGTCTTGAAAAAGTGTTGTTTAGCCTTGCTCTGCAGTGTGTTGAGATCCAATTTGTTCCCCGTGCAGTTCTTTTGTCTGAAATCAAGCAAGTATCGAGCGGTAGCCGTCTCTGCAATGCTAGAGAGAGTGTCTGGCCTAGCACATTGGACTGAGGCCGGGGACAAAGCTTTTGCACATTGTTTTATGTTCAATATAATATATATATATAGATATATATCAAACATATTTTATGTAGTATATATATATATAGTAATATATAGTACAAAGCGGATTCATGTTGTTTGCAAATCCACTCGCTTTGCACGCCTTGAATCTGCTGCCACCAAGAAAGGAACTGCCGCAATGAGAAAGAACGCTGCCATTGCTCACGGTTGTCTAGTTTGAGTCTCGACTGAAGATCCTTGAGCCTGAGCCGAAATGCTCCATGAAAGCATGAGCTTAGCAGCTTCACCCAAACACGTGAAAGGAATGTCAAAGCGCTTGGCAAGAATGGACGCAACATGAAGCAAGCAGATTCTCATGGTTGCCACCCCTTTGCCCTCCGAAGAGGCCATAGCTCTAGTGAAACAAGCCGATCAAGGACCTTACCCTTGATGCGCCCCAAGAATCACACCTTGGGCGCGAGAGAAGGGAGCGGGAAAGGGGAAAATGGGGAGGACGAGGTGTGCTCTGACAAGGCCTGGAGTTGGAATGGAGGCAACTTCTGTGAAGAGAACCTGCCAAAACAGCCAGTCATGCTGTTCATCCTGCATGTTATATACAGTCAGAGTCTGACTCACTGAAAGTGGAACGCCGAGTTTCTAGAGCAAAGTATAGTCTTCAAAGGGACCATTTTCCACTTCTAGTGAGTGAGAGTGTATCCATGTGTATCCCATCATGCCCTCTGCAAAGCCCTTTTGTGCCTTCTGTGGGTCGTGACCTCAGAAGCTGTCGCGTACACTTTCAGGAACACCAGGTTGTGGGGTTGCTGATGCTGGGCACAGCGCCGCCGTCATCGAAGAGAGCGAGGAAGATTAAGAAGTCCAGTAAACCTCAAAAGCTTGGTATGATAGAAATTAAGAACAAAAAAGAACTAAACAAAACTAAAACAGGGCAATCCACGCGGAAAATAATACAGAGCGACCCCCCCAGCTCGCTTCATGGGACCCCCTCCCCTCGGACGCAACCGCGGCCAACCACTTGGGAGATGACCGACCACTGCAGCAACTACGAAGGTGACAGCCACCTCACAAGTCTATGATCAAGTGGCAAAATGTGAAGCTGAACACGTCAAGGCCAAGAACTAAATAAGTGATGGTCAAAATTTGTTGTGGAGTTGCAGGTCATCAGGGTTTGGTGAGTGTATTATCGTTTGCCATGTATGTTGTTGTTTTTTGGTGAGTGTGTTGTCGCTTTTGAGCGAAACCTGCATGTTGAATCCCATGACCGCTCACTGATCGTTTCTCACTTTCACTAATGAGCCTAGCTCAAATAAACCCTGAAGCGAACAATTTCTACTTCATCGAGATGACTCATCTAGTATCAACTCATCTAACCAAATCATCTGCTGACGCTTGGCTCCTACTACAACGCTTCAAAGGACTCCAGCGCCGAAAACAACGCCCTCATCTCATGAGGCGGACGCGGCGAGACCGCGCCTGCTTTAAAGTGTGATCACCATTGTACCAACCTGGCTAACAGTGCGCAAGCCAGGCTCACTCCAAGCGCCCGTGGCTGATGGAATCGTCAATTGGCCCATGACTCCATTCCACTGAGATGAGCACGTGCCCAGGGCATTAGTGGCATGCACAGAATCAGAATCAAGGCTGCCTTACTTTCTCATCTCACATCAGCAGTCTTACTAGTTGTACTAGTTGTGCAACATAACATGAAAACTTTGAACTCTCTGCTGTGGGAAGGGCCACTAGCAAATGGTGCCGCATAGCCTACGATGAAGCCAGTGTCAGCTTGCTGTGACCATTCTACTGTGACCATTCTATGTAGCTTCCTCATGCTGATAAGTTTGGCCTCGAGGGCATAGAATGTAAGCATGCTCTGACAAATCCTTGGAGTACGCAGGCTACAAGTAGCATCTTCGAAACGAGAATCGTCGAAACCAAGTCATCTAAGTCATCTGCATCACGTGACCAGACGGCATGCCGGGAAGTAACTTGCCGTCTTCCGTCCTGCAGACCCATAGACTCCATACCACGTGAAGCCAACTGAAAGGTGCAATGCTTACACTAGCAGCGCTTGCTACTATGGACTATGAACTTACTGCGAGCAAGAATGCTGTATAATGCTTTGTTGAAAATCCGAAGTCTTGTTGATTTCTGTCGGTTTCTTCAAACGACTACTTTTCGGTCACGAGTTTGCAGCATTTCTTGGCTCCTGCAAGCCGAGGTGGGTGGGCGCGGCTCCGCAATCAGCGGCTTCAGAATCAACTGGCGCCATCAGCGGCTTCAGAAGATCAAGGATGATGCAATAAGACCCGCGTGATCAGTATCATCGGGACATGAATGCCCATGAAGATTGGATTGACACAAACAGCAGCACCAGCCTCGCTCTTCAGGCTGGTCAGAATTATCTGAGCAACTATGAATTGCTGAGTCGAGGAGGCTCCGCAGAACCACACAATGTTTGTGGCTGATCTCATGCCTTTCATGTGTTTCTAAGGTGAACATGTGTCTTGCAGGCTGTGAGCTCGTGACTGCACCCAGAGCAAATCCGCTCGAAATCCGCCTACGCAAAGCCGGCATATAAGGAAAAGACATGAGACCAAGGACAAAGACACTGGACATAACTTTCAAAAGGCCTGGACAGGATGCCATCTGCGAGGAGCAGGATTGGCACGGCCCACGGAAGAAAGCTGGCAGCAAGAGTCGAGGCGTTCAGAAGTTGCAAGGTTGAAAGAGCTTCTCTCTCATGCACATTGCTTTGCAATTTGTATATATGTATCTCAAAATGGGCGTAGACGGCCTCAGCACCAGTGCCATTAAGGAGAGCGGGTTGAGATCCAGCCTCCAAGAGCCGGAGAAAGAGCCAAACGCAGTGTACTGCAGCGTCGATCGCTCCTAGTAGCGATGCCAGGAGCCCCTACAAGCAGTAGCTTCTGGTTGCTAGTAGTAGTAGTAGTAGTAGTAGTAGTAGTAGTAGTAGTACCAGGAGCTACTAGTAGCTACTTGCTCCTAGTAGTACAGCCAGGAGCCCCTAGTAGCTTCCCGTTTCTAGTAGCGATGCCCTTTGTTCCTAGTGGCTTCCTGTTCCTAGTAGTAAGGCCAGGAGCCCCTAGCAGCGTCCTTGCTCCTACTAGCAATGGCCTCCACCCTACTAGCAAACGGAACCTAATAAGAATGGCCTCCAACCCACTAGCGATGGCCTCCACCCTAGTAGCTGTGTAGCTTTCACACTGGGTCATTACCAACATGGCAAAATGGCTCCCCAAAACATGGCGGAGCCACGGAAGCCGGATGGTGACCTGGCCAACCTCAACAAGCAAAAGCGAGCGTTCTCCGAATTTCAATGACTCATCCTGGTTTCACTCTAGTCGCTGTGCATCAGGAAGGATTTGACCCCAAAAGCAATTTTTGTTCACATCTAAGTAACCATAGAAAACAAGATAAAACTACATTATGTATGATCGTATGTGACTATCTTGCCACATCCACTTACCTCAGACCAAGGCTGCAAAGGACTCGTCCTTTTCTGTGCTTTGACTTTCTATGTCATCGTCTTGCCTTGGTCTTTCGAATGGTCAAGAATGGGACTAAATCGAAGTCGACCCTGACTCCGAGCTCTTGCAGCTGACTCTGCAGCTCTGATCGGTAGACAGTTCTTTTGATAGAATCACTTGTTGTATCTCATTGCTTCATGAACTCTACTTTACGGGTCCATTGTGGCTGACAGAAGCCCACCATTTATTAATTGCACTTCCGTGCATGTCAGAATAGGCTATATTCAGCAAAAAGCATGCAAATGTGCAGAACAAAAGTACAGGTGCAAGGCACGATGCCAGGCACGTGTGGTGGAGTGGGAACAAGAAAGATGGCTGCATGTCACTATATGAGGATTCGACCAAACCCATGGTTCAAGGGGGACCGACTCCGACCATGACTATTTTGAATAAGTTCCTACAGCGAAAGAATTTCTCCATTCATGTGTCTACTTGCCACGTCAAATCATTTCTCGTTTTGGAGGCCGTCTTTGGGTCGCGGACGCTGCTCGCCGCAGCGCCATGCTCAATCTCAGACAGTAGGCCAGTAGGCCGTCTAGGCTCTTGGCCAAGCTAAATCGAACGTAGCTTCCAATGGTCGTGATCAACAGAGGTCAAGCCGGGCGTTGAGACCACCGGATACCACGGGAATCAGCCTTTCTCAAGCTGAATATGCTAAAGGATACCAAAAACCTGTGATAAAGACTGGTCCACTGCTGCTCTTGCCTTTGGGGATCCGCTCTCGGCTTCAGATGAAAGTCTAGTAGCGCTAGTGGCAATCAAAAGCATGTAAAGTCATTGTACCAAATTGTTTGAACTCAGTCCATACAACCATATGATCTATATTTATATATGTATAATGTATATATGTTTCACTCTTTGATATGATGTTATTGTGAATTTCGTATTTGGGTTTTGATCAACAGCCAAGACTGGCATTTCAACGGCATCGCATCCGCTCCAATTTTCTTCGACTCATGTCCTTGCACGGCGACGATGCTTTCGGCCTCCACCTATCATGGTTGCCGAATGAAAGTTCTTTTCCGCCTCTTCAAAGCATCTCGAAGGCTTTCACAACTGTCCGAATCGACAACAATCAAGAAAGAAGAAAACAAGTAAGAGACAAGGGCCTTTTTGATGAGGAGTTCTTTCAAGGGGACCCTTATTCAAGATATATATCAAAGAGATTCAAAGACGGCCCTTACCTTCTGTTTTCTCTTGCTGTCTCGATTGGCCTCCAGGGATCTCGGAGTCCAGAACGATGGGCTTCCGACCCACTTTCTCTGGCCTGCGAAAGCAAGGCTATGCGAGGTTAGTAGGCTTTGGTTACTGTGGTGGCTATACTGGTGGCTATTTGGGCTTAACTTCTAGATTCTATATGCTTCTATGGAGGCCATCGCTTCTAGGTTGGAGGTCATTCCTATTGGGTATACTGGTGGCTATTTGGACTTCCAGTATCTTCACGTCCTCGCCCCTCAGAGCTTTGAGGGAAACCTGCAGATGTGAACTGCCTCGCAAGATATTCTCGGAGGCGAGAAGAGGATGTGGCCGTTCCATCCTGCAAATACATGATATGGTCATCATCCTTCAGAAAACATCTGTCAGCTCTAGGATGCAGACGTCTGAATCCGCGAAGCTATCCTGACCTGGCTGGCAAGTGCCAGTGTGTTTACAGAAACGGACATCACTCACATGCCTTGGCTCTTGTCATCTGCTTTGTCAGCGTTGGACCTCATAAAAACTGAGCTTACGAGAATTCAGAATTATAGATCTGGGATACTGGCCACATGTCCCACAAATCCAGTGGGGCAGGCTCTTGCCTTTCAAATAGAAAGCTTTAAGCTCAAGAAATGTCACTGCCAAGGGAAAGCATGGACCTACAAACAATCAGAAGCTGCTATTGGGGCGCAAACAACGGAGCTATGCTCTTTGGCTCCACATCTTGTTCCGGACGATGCTTGGTCATTCGTAGTTCCTCCTTCGCCAATGAAAAGCTTTGGTGAGCGAAACAGCCCTGTGAAAAAAAGCGGCAAATACAGTACCTGGTACCTAATTTTTTTGCCTTTGTTTTGTCGTTTCCTAATTTTTAGCTCGTGGCCCTGCTTCCTTGCTTAATTAAGTAGGCACCTACTTAATTCAAGCAAGGGAGTAAGCTACTGGCTACTTAAGCTACTTACTGGACACAGGATTCGGATAGCTTGCGCTTCTTCAAGGAAGCACTCGCACTAATCATTGGTTCCTAGATTTTGAGGGAACCTTACTTGCAGCAAATACAGTAATTATATACCTAAGTTGGTACCTCCTTCGCCAGGCGCTCCAACAAGTCATCCTCCACCCACGCGCCATCAACTTCAGCCTTAGGTGCTTGCCAATCAAAGTCAGCAATCTTGACATGACCAAAGGGCGCACTGTGTTGACCACCAGCCGCTGCCGCACCTTTTGCAGCAGAGCCACTGTAGAACCATCCGACCTCAAAGAAAGGAGTGCGACCACACTCGTTCCTCACGGCAGCATTGGGCAACAAGCTTTCTTGGCAGCCCTTACGCACCCATCTTTTTAAAGCCTTCCTCAATGGCATCGACCTCAGGCGATGGGCTGGCGACAGGCTGGCGGCGGCAATCAAAGCAACGACTCTCGGAGCATCTGACAGGGCCTCCCAAAGGGTCAGCTCGTCTGAAAGAGCACGGACATGCTTCCGACCTGATATTGTTTACATAGACTGCCCAATGGCGGCTATGACTTCAGCATGCTTCAGCTTTGATGACATGAGCACGTTGAGGACGTGGCAAGCTTGCGCCAGCTTTTGATTGTTTATGCCCAACCTCAGATTGTTCAACGGCTTCTGAACATGTGGATGGGAACTTTTAGCTCAGCAGTCCGTCTCCTTGGGAGCTTGTTGTCCATGTTCACACTGCACGTCACATGTGTCTGGAAACAAGTGACCCTGGTCCGCGTAATTTGAACAGCTATCGACCAGTGAGTGCACTTCCAGTGTTGACATGCGGCTTGCCGTAGGCCTGTAAGACCAAGCCAATTCCTTGACCTGAACGAATCTCAAGACACAAACACCAACACAGGAAGAGATTGGAATCTTAGCTTCAGGCCAGAGAAAAGTGGAATCTTTTGTAGGATCTCTTCAGCAAGAAGATAAAACAAGATCTCTGAACCTTGCAAGCTAAAACGAGACCCACATGACCGAAAAACACCAAGAGACGCGCCCAAAGGACTCCTTGACTTGTGTAAAAACAGGACTGTTTCTATTGGAACATAGTCTTCACTGGGAGACCTATGCTACTTCCATGATAGAGACTCAGAGTGGACAAAAATGCAAGTAAGACTAAAAGGTACATGGGGGGATATGTCCATATATACAAATCGGTCCGAATGCACTGTAGGTTGTTGAAGCTGATGGAAATGAAGCTTTGCGCCGTGCGCACTTCGAGCTTTGCGAAGCTGTCGGCCGTAATGGCCAACGCCTGCATGGCGTTCATCTAAACACGTCGATGTTGACTAGTAGCTTCTTGTTACTACTAGTAAGGCACTTGTTACTAGAAGCG